GTTGTTTACCTAAAAAATTTTAATGATACATTAAAGTTCAGATAAGAAATTTAATAATTGTAATTATTAGTAATTTCAAATAAAATTATAATTATCACTATAACTACTTTATTTTCTTTATATTTTTATTATTTCATAGAATAAAAAATAAATTTTTTGACAATACAGCTATTATAAATGCTCATTATTTTATGCTAATAAAAATAGGATATTATTAATTAATACTATTATGTTGAAATTTATGAACTCACCTTCTAATAATAACAAAATTGACAAGTTCAAACAATAATAACGAAAAAAAAAATGTTTAATTTCATCTCATTATAAATTAATTAATAATTATTATAAATTTTTATCTCTTACTTCTTCTTAATTTATTACTCGTACCGTATTTGTATTTTTGTATTGCATACGGGTATACCTTTAATAATATTTGCTTCTCAGACTGCATACGTCATACTCATGTATATATACATTTTTGTATTTTATACTTTTATATTGTAGTTCTCTAATCTCTAGTTAGTATTCTCTTCTCAATATTCTTTTAATTTATTATATACAGAATAAAAAAGACACAATATGATTGTTGAACATTCAACACCGTACTACTGTATTATAGTATGGGTTTTAGTAGTGTTACCTTTGGGAAATTTTAAAATGTTCAAAAAGAAGTACAATTTATAGGATATTATAATTTTCCAACAACTATTTAATACTGAACTGAGGTAAATAGAGTATATTTTACGGTAGACTCGTCACTTACCTAGTAAACTCAATGACGTAAAAAACTGGTTCATGGTTATCTACAAAATCACGCACCAGCCCTATATTCCTCCCTGGAGCGAACTAAGATAAAAAAAAGTAGAATATTAATATTATTTTTTATTATACATACATATACATATACTTGTTCAGGTACAAATGGTACAGAGCCATTTATAACAGAGTCACATACAACAGAGATATTTTGTGTTTTTGGAGTTGTTTTGACATTAAATTATAAAAGTTAAGATTATGTTTTATTGATTTACCCAAAAAGACTATTTCATTTACAATCTACTCATGTTTTTGGTTCTTTCATGTAATATTCATTTGTATGATAATTGATATTTGGCATATGCAATTCGTCTGATGTGCATAATCATGAATAGTTTCAAAACGTCAATGGAACTCAGCTATTGTGGCATAAAATCTTTTGAAAAATGAGCAAATATGCTACATATACAGTAGATTTGAAGCACTAGCTCTTACTCATATTCTATCTTTTATGGTATTATTATCATTCAATTCAATAATAAAGTATGCTAGACTGAAAACTAAACTTTTTCGACTTCTATACACAATCTCTAAAAGCAAGCGAAATATTTTATAATAAAAATGAAAATTAAACAACTTTTTTTTCTGTTGTTTTTCTGCTCATTTTCTGTTTTTATATTGTTTGTTGAATGATGATGGGGGAGAGAATATTAATTTTTTTTTTTTGTAATTTTAAAGTTTAAAAAGCAAGTAAAGTAAAGATCATTGAAAAAACGCGATTTGCTTTTTTTATTTTATTTTTTGCATTTAAAATACGGAGAGCGCTTTTTTGTTTGTTTCTTTTTTTTGCGTTTTTTTTTTGTTGTTTTCTTCTTTAAGTGTACGTTATTTATGATTGTGTGTATATTTATGCATATAATATATTTTTTTTAAGATAATATTAAAAGTACTATTGTAGAAATAATGTAAGTAACTAGGTTTTTTGTTGTTGTTGTTATTTTACTGCCGCTTATTGCGCTACAATAGTAAATTCAACAAAAATAATAGTTAGTTAAAAAAAACAAAAAACATGAAAAACAGATAAAAAAAATTTTAGCATTCGTTATAGCGAGTTAAATTAAAAAAAAAAAAAAGTATTATAAAATGTAGTGAGTGAGTGAACGGCGCAAACAACTCGTCTTAAATATATTCAAGCTTCAGGTTAAAAAAAAAAATTACAGAATAATAAAAAAATAAAATCTCATACTCAAGTATGTACACACAGAGTGCGTCCAAATAAAAATATCAGAAATTCAAATTTTTTTACTATCATAGAAATTTTTTTTTGCTCACTCACTCATATTGAAATTGCAGTAATGTTATGTTAATGCCTTATAATGTGCTGATTTATTAGATTAAATGAAATTGTAGATAAGATAAACTGGTGCTTAGGAAGATTTCCATTAGCAATTTTTATTTTTAATTACCAATACCTCTTGTAGGGTAATTACCCACATAAAAGTGCGTATTATACGAGTATTTAGGTATTACCCATATTTTTATATGGGAGCGTCTAGTTGAGAGTGTTACATACCAACAAAGAGCCGAATTGTATTTACGCATTATAGTGCTAACACTGTTGTTGTTTTTTGATTTTGACAGTCGTTGTCGCTGTACTTTATTTGAATTTTAAATTTTTTTTTTTAGATTTTTCATGTGAAATAATTTTTATTTTTAATTGAAAATTAAGTTTTCAATTAAAAATAAAAATTTTCAATAAAATAAAATATTAGATTATAACAGTATTGAATCTGTTTAAATTGTAGCTGAATTTAAAATTTACAAAAAGAAAATGTATTGAAGGATTTATAGGTATGTATGTATGCATGTATTATTTCTTAATCATTTCTTAATTTTATTTCTTTAAGGATCTCATAATCATGGAGAAATGTTGGAAATGAAAACGAATTCAATTTGTGTACCTTATTTAGAAATTGACACTGGAAAAAAAAGTGGACAAATGATGAAACAAAATTATACTAATACATATGTAGTTGACTGTTTGAAATTGAATGAACATTTCTGTGATGGAAAAAGGAAAAAGTATGAAAGTGTTATGGAGTTTTATTTTGAATAACATGAAAAACGCCTTCACTTTTTGTGATAAAATAAATTTTTAAAATTTTTAGATATAACAACATACCTTGTGAAATTTAGTTGCGGTATAGCGATTGAACTGATCTGCAGGCATCATATTTACTTTTCCGGATTCCAAAACAAGCATATTCGACTATACTTAGAACTGCACTGCAGTTGAACTAAATTAAAAATTCCTTTTCTTATAAGACTGTGGCAACAAATAAAAATATGTATGTATATAAACTTTTTGGTAAGAGGAAAAAATAGCACTTAAATAGTATGAATATGAAATGGTAATTGCGTGTAACACAAATCCGCATTTTTAAATATAATTTTACAATTTTAATTATCACAATTTTAATTATTTTATAAATAAGTGTTGCCGTTACTTTGAAATTTTTCATTATTTTTGTCTCACTAACACTATTTTTTTATTTTTTTTATTTGAAATTTTTAGTAGTGCAATGTTACGCACTATTCTTGCATAATGAATTAGAATTTTCAAGCTGAATTGTGTATTAATGCAGAACTATTGCAATTCATATGCGCTACTATTTTTTAAAAACAAAAAGTAAATTTCTGATTTTAACGTGTACATGAAATGTGATATACCCTGTACCTATACATAGTGTTTTGATACGCGAGCTTGTTATATATTATATATATATGAATATATATATATTTGTATATTGTATTGTCACGGTTTTCTATCGTGTTGAATCTGTACATACGTACGATACGAGAATATTATTATGGAAAAAAAAAATTAAATAATAGTCATAAAGGCAAAAAGGCAACAAAACGAAAAAAAAAAAACATTTTTTTTTTTAAACACGAGAATAACAAGAATAAAAAAATAAGAAAAACAAAAACAGAATTTTACGTACATTAAAAAAAATACGCCAAACACCAGCAACCAAACTAACAAAATAACAAAACATAAAAAAGCGAATGTGAAACGTCTCTGCTCTACGACTAGTTAAAGTTAAGGTTTATTTTTTTTTTAAAGAGTGTACACAGTGTAGTCTGGCTTACTCATTCAAATTGCGAGGTTGTTGTAAGTCTAAGTCCGCTTTTCGCTATTTTTTATTGTTTTTTATTTTTTTCTTTTTTGTGTTATTTATTTCGTTTGGTTTTTTCTCAAAATACAAAATTTTTAAAGAAAATTTAAAAAAAAAAATAATAAGTTTAAATTTTTTTTTTATTATTTTTGATCTTAAGTTTTACACGCTTTCTGTAGTATTTTTTTTTTATCATTTGTTATTGTTGATCTTTCAACTTTCCGGAATCCGGATCGTTCGCGTTTTTTTTTTTTTTTGGTTGAAGAAAGGCGGGCGGGCGAGCGGCATATTTACAAATTTTATGAAAACAAGAAAAATAAAACAGAACAAAAAAACAACATTGCTAGAAAACAAAGAGAATTTTTTTAAATTATTTTTTATTTTCTTGTTGTTGTTTTTTGTTGTTCATTTGTTAAAAAAAATTCTTACATAAATTGTTTAACTGCTGCTGCTATAATGGTGCTTTTCATATTAATTTTGATGTTTTGAAACGAAACGGCGGAATTTATTTGTACGTTTGTATTGTATGTATTGACGTACGTTTTCAACGATTTTTGTAATTTATTATTGTACGCCGCTATTACGTATTCCGTACGTTTCGTTTATATATTTAAAAAAAAAAACTTTTATTGTATTAAATTATTTTTATTTGTGTATGTGTGTGTGATACACACATTTTAGTAAATAAAAATTATTTCTATTATACAAGAATATTGGATTACTATTGCAATAATAACCAGAGATTTTGGATTTTTGGAATTCGAAATCATAACAATATATACAGACAGCTACGCGCTGAAAATAACTAGGACTTACTTATTACCTAGACATTTTTAACAGAACAAGAAAATGTTGTGATTAAACAATTATTTAAAATTTTTTTTTTATAAATGTTATTAATAGTATACAATAAACATATATACAACATTTATGTATGTATGTATATACAGTGTAAATAAATAAAATAGTTGACAAAAATTCTCTACTATTTTTGGTTAAATTTTTTAATTCGTTTTTAGTATATTTATTAAAATTAATTTATAGAAAATAATATCAATAAAAATAATGGATGAACTTAATATAAGATTAATTGATTTAGTTGAATCCGAGCCATGTATATATGATAAAACAGATGTTTTTTATAGTAATAAGGATCATGTTAAACAAGTATGGGAAAAAATATCAAATGCTATGCAATTATCTGGTAAGTTAATATTAATAATTTTATGCAGCTTTCTGTAATTTAATATTCATAAAATATAAACATAGCATTCAGCTATTGAAAACACATTGCTGAATAAATTAAAATGATTTATTTTCAATTTTTACCAGGTTTTTTTTTTACATTAAGCAATGAGCGCCTCTATATTTACATATTTTCTTTTATTTTTATAATTATTGTGAGCTACAAATTGCAATATTGTATATTTTTTGTTTTAAATCTAATTCAGCTTAATCATAAATTGCTGAATTTAGTTTAAGAATAACATTGTTTATTATTACATTAAAGAACTCAAGAATACTGCATAGCATAATATAGGGTGAAGTGATTTTGTGAAAATTTTTCTTGTCAAATTTGAAATTCAAATCAAAAATATATAAAGCTGAACAAACCAATTAAAAGTAACGATATACAGTTGTCACAATTTTATATGACATTACCAGCATTTGTACTAACTGTGCCTTGATATTACATATTTTTAAATATTACTTGTATTGATCACTCGATAGCGTTGTTTTGAATGAATACTCAAATTTAAGGTGAAATCAAAGATGGGGTATACAGGAGCAGGCTCTGTTATACCCCTGATTATCCTAAAATTTTTGTCATATTTTAAAAGAATTTAAGGGGTTAATAAAAATTTTTTTCTTGTTTTAAATACTAGTCACAATATTTTATTTAAAAGAATATAGAAAAGATATTTCTGTCATATTTTTTGCTTTTCACGCAATTTCGAACAAATAGATATGAAGTTTCGCCCAAACTTCCAACTGATTTTATTCTATAAGAAGTATATCAAAATACGAATTTGAACTAAGCTGTCAAAATGAGCTATTCAGCAATAGTAATTTTAATTGCTGAATAAAATATTAATTTCTCAATTAATAAATTTATTATTTAATCACGTTTATTGCATTTATATATATATATATACATATATATTATATATTTACATATATAATTATAATGTATTAAATGATTTTACATTTTATATTAAAAAATATTTAAAGTTCACAAACATAAAGTATAATTTAAGTATAATAAAAAATAAAAAAAATAAAATTGCATTAATAATTTTTATTTTGAAAAAAATTTCCCACACAATCACTTCTCTGCAATTTACAAAGTATTAAAACAAAAAGTTCTTGATTTTTTTTAAGCAAAAACATGAAAACATTCAGAATAATAAGAAAAAAAAAAATACAAAATACACACAAAAAAAAAAGTAGTAATAATGAATTTAAAATAAAACCAGGAAATCACGATTTGATCACTTTAATAGCAACCGTTGTGTTGTATACCGAACTCTTGTTGTTTTTTTTTTCGTTACTTTGATTTTTTTTCTCTCTTTCAACTTTGTTAAGAAAAAAAATATCTTAAAAATAGCAAAGAGATGAAAAAAAAAATCTAAAAGCTAAACAGAAACGCGTTTAATCCGTCAATTTTAAATCTTTATGTTCTTTTTTTTTTTCTTCTTGTTTTCTTGTTTTCTTTGCTTTTATTTTCATTTTTATGTTACGTAATTATATCGTATCGTATATTATTATTATTATTATTTTATAATATTATGGACGTGAAAGTCCGAAACTAGTTGTTCGACCTCTAAATAGAAAAAAAAAAGCAAAAAAACATATAAAAATAAAAATTAAATGTTCTGCAATTTTAAAAAAAATTTTTTTAAATTAATTCAATAATATTTTTTTTTTAATGTTTCTAATTATAATAATTCTATGTAAATACACATACATATATGTAAATACGGGAAATTTACGATAAATTTCAAATTTGACATGCTCGTTTATTGTAAATGCATGATTTTTAATTAATTACATTATATTTAAAATTAATTTTACTTGTTATATTGTATAAAATTTATATAATTCTGTTATTTAGTTCGATTATTTTTAAACCACTCTCTTATAATATATATGCATGTTTTACAATATGCCGGTAGATGGCAGTGATTTATTGAGTAGCATCAAAGACATTATAAATACTTAATGTATTTTAATTGAAATTGCTGCTGAATCAACTATATTTAATATTCCAAATAAATGCTGATATACGTTTAGTTAAATGATCTTATTGAATATAAAACAAACTAAGAAAATGTTAACCCTTTCAGATTTAAGATGAAAAATGTGTTCCAACACACAGTCCTTCTTTTATGCTTCTTACGCTCTTTCTCAAACAAAAATAAAATTTATTTACCGAAGAGAGGATGTGAGTAGTATTAGGAAAATGCTATCTGTGCTTGTGTATTCGCTCATTGCATAAACGTGTAAATAGGTTCATTTACAGAAAGCTATAAATACTCAATAATTCTTATCACTTAATTACTTTTTCGCCTAATTATATGCAAAATAATGTATTACATACACATATTTGAATTTGTTTAAATACTCCCATATCTAAGTTGCTCTATTGTACAATAATTTAAGTTTAAAAATTACGATATGGCGTTAAACTATAATTAAATTAATTTGCGTTAAGTAATTATGTAATTATTCAGGTGTAAGTATGAACATGAACTTACTGATAACTAACTATGTACATTTTATATTTAACTCAAACCATACATATGGTAAAACTATAATAATATTAATAGTGCATTTTCAGACTCCGCATTTATACACATAGCTTAATATACCGACATTATTAACTAAATATATATTTGTGCATAATTAGAAAATATTTCTTATATACTTATAGTTAGTTATAACTAAATGTCTATCAAATATATTTCTTAATTCCTTTGTGTATTCATATACATGCACACAAACAATTATAAAATGAACGGTGAACGCATGTATTGTTGTCATTGTACTTTAAAATCAAAAAAGCATCCCGTATTTTTTTTTTACTATTATTTTTTTCTACTATTTTGTTTTATTTTACTTTTGTTTTTTTTTTGTGTAGTGTTATTAATTATAACTTTTAAACCAATATGATTTGAATACTTGGATATTTAAGACAAGACAACTAAATAATAAATTATTATTCTATAGAGAAACATTTTTTTGTCGATATACATATACTACATACACAACGATACATACACACAATTAACCAATTTTTCAGTGGTCGCCAATCTTAATCACTAATTATGTCACAATTAAATTGTCAAACAAAATTTGACTATAAAAAATTAATTTTGTTATTTCTACGCAATTCAGCAAATACAAGTTATAAGCTGAATTGTATGTCATTATTTATATTTACATAGTTAGCATGTTAGAGTGACATTATTGTTATATATAAAAAGGCTGCTTATAAAAAGTCAGAAAGAAAAAAGGAACGAAACCACAGTAATTCTAACATTTTCCTTATATATGGTGTCCGAGGACTCGATAGTACTCCCGTAACAAGTTAATAGAATGCCTCCAGAGGAACAAAAACATCTGTAGTGACATTTTGCTTTTTGGATCTTCCTTTTCAAATTAAAAATCCTCAAAGTCGGAATTTCTGAAAACCGTCTAATTTTCATATTTTTATTGATAAAACTGCAAATATTGCTTTGTATATTAATTTTGAAGCTCATGAAATTCCTCTTCAATTAGTATATGTCAGTGGGGTCGAAGACTTTTTAGTGTCAGAGATATTTAACAGTAAAAAATCAAAATTTTACTAATAAATTTTCATTTCATTGTCCTTTACTCATAATTCCACATTACTAACCTATCGTTTTTTTTTACAGAAAACCGAGCCTTATATTCTTATCACCTTTTTTGATATAACATAATAATGAAAAAATCTCAGGAATAATATCAGGCAAAAACCATGGGGTCTAAAAAATTAGAAAATTGACCAGAATAAAATTTTTTTAAAATTTATTATCCGAAATTGTGCATTATTAATATGCAACCGGTCTTTTCCAGTTAAAAGACATTTGCCTCACCTTCGTTTTACTACCTAATATTTTCTAAAAATTTCAGGAATATCGTGCCTAAGAACGAAAATTTAAGATCAAATTTACTAATATCGCTAATTAGCTACAAAACTACTCTCAATCCAAATCACTAAAGTCTATATATACATAGTTTAGAATATTATACATTACACACATATTTAAACGGAAGCAAACTTAAAATATCGTACTGAATATGAAGTATGGGTTGCCGATTAGGGAATTATTTTTATAGGTCTATGTATACTAAATTGCTCATTATAATCGAATATGTTGTATAGAAATATTAAGTATACTTACTATTATTGATCACATACATACACATATACATGGCAGGCAATTTTATATAATATATAAATGTATGATCACATTTGTACAAACATATACACCACATATTCGCACATTTTTTTTTTTTTTTGTAATATAAGGTAAGATTCTTAATAACTATAATAAAAATTCTAAAAGTTCCCACTAATGGTGGTTATTTTTGTTGCTGATTAATATTTTTGTTAGCTTTTTTGTTTTCTTTAATTGTTGTTATTCTTTTTATTGTTATTATTATTATTGTTTTTTTTTTTTTGTTTCTTTTCTCAACTACATAAAATGATTCAATAAATTAAACTTTTGTTTTGGTTAACAATTTTTTATTCGCGTTTTTCTAACGAAAAAAACCTTGAAATTACATTGCATTTTTTTTATTATTATTATTCTTATTGTATATATACATATGTTAAATTTGTTTTTATACATACAAACGTGGATATACTACATATAAATATATGTTATACGTGCCTTCTACATTGTATTCTATCGTACAGTAATATTGGTATATGCTCCACTAACCGTTAATACTAACGTAAAATACACACAGATAAGAATTAAAATTAAATAAAAAAAAAAAAAATCAAAAAAGCTTTTTTACATTAAATTTATTCGATACTAGATTCGTATGAGAGTGCTGTGAGACAAAATTGCGATTAGAGAATATAATTTGTGCCGAAATTGAGAACTAAAAATTAATAAAGAAAAAGAGATTTGTATAGGATTAGAAGAGAATTTAAATTAGCATTATAAAATAATAGAAAATTTTGCAAAATTTTCAGAAATTTGTTTATGATTATGACTATTTTTCTAAATAGCAACCAGGTGTAAAAGAGAAACAAGATATAGTATCATTAATAACAAAATTTTAATGTCCTAACTCTTATACATATGTGCTTACAATATTACAAACCCTTATACATCATAAAATTATTATAATATAATATATGTATAATATTTATAGGAATATAGGAATTTGATTATGTATAACATTAATTTTACATCTCTGCCCCCTTTATTATATCCTCATATTCCCTCCTCCTCCTTCTCTCCCTCCCCCTTCACATGAAAATATTTTGTAAATAAAATAGTTATAAATTGCATATTATGTACGAATAATACTATAACTAACGAGGTACAAAAAAAAAAAAAACCAGTTTCTTTGAATAGAAAATCATAATAATAATTATTGTTATATTGTTATATTCGTTCTTTTATTGCTATATACATACATATATACGTAAATAAAATTCTTTTTTTATTATTTATTGTATATGATATATAGTTTTATGTGATTTATATATTAATTATTGGTATTTTAAGAATTTAAGGAAATTACACTTGAATATTTTTCATATTTTCTAACTGCCTAATATTTATTTATTCAAAATTGCATACAATTAGGCGTGAATATGTAATAATATGTATATAATATCTCAAATATGAAACGTTTATTCTTGTTCATGAATTCTGTTATACATGAGTAAACATAACCTATAAAATGGCTAAAAATATATGTAATTAATTATTAATAGTTGAGTGTATAACAGTTTACTGATTCAAGGATATGAGTAAACGTTATAACAATTAATGAGAGTAATAAAATAAATAAGCCTAAAAGAGAAAAATTAACAACGTGTTGGGAACTTTATGAATAATGCCACAATTAATTGTTATAATTCTACCGTTATATAAGATGATTTAATCAATATTGAATTGCATTCATAACATAAAAGATGATGACTCATAAATGAAATTTTTCATTAAATTGAATAAGAGTTTTGTTTGTAATATTTGTTACTTAAATTAAATTATGTTTGAAGGGAATTTATAAAATTTTGTAATTTTTTAGTACGCCTTTAATCATTCATTATTATTAAGGATTTCCTTAGCAAACATTAATATTTTTTATTTCAAATTTTTTTTGCTTTCTTAAATTAATTAACATAATTTTTCTTCTTATTATTTTTAGTTCCTGTTTGTCAAAAGAGATGGAGATATTTACGTGATTATTTTGTTCGTCAATTGCATATGTCAAAAACTGATAATAAAAAATCATATTGGGCTCTTTTTGAGCGTATGCTTTTTTTAGCACCGTTTTCAACACGTAAAGCACGTGTTAATACAACATCAAGTGAATGTTGTACAACAACATCAATGATACCTGGTCATAATATTACAACAAAAAAGAGACGACAACGTTCAACAAGTGCAATAATTAAAAAAAATTGGGATAATGATCAAAATAGTAATATATTATCAGTATCAAGTAGTAGTTCAAATGCTGGCCTAGATGAATTCAATAGTTTTGATTATTTAAATTTATATCAAGCACAATTTGGTTTTGCTGATAATGCTGCTCTATTACAATTACAAAAACAAACAAATTTTCCATTAAATTTAGATGATCGTTTATCATCTTTACCATTAGAAATTCAAATAAGATCACCATCATCTGAACCTAATAATAGTACAATAAATTTTTCAAAACGTTCATCAAATAATACAGGATCAATAAATGATGATTTTGGTAAAAATCTTTCATTAAAATCATCAACAGTAGCAACAACAATATCAACAACATCAATTACACCAGTAACATCATCATCAATACAATCGAATGATCCACAAAATTTAATTGGATATAATTTAGTTTCAACTTCAACAAATGAACAAATTTCAATAAATACAAATAATAAAAATAATAATAATAATAAAAGACAACATCGACAACATTTAAAAAATATTAATTTTACAAATCATAATGATATTAATTATAAATTACAAGATTTTGCAACAAATTATACAAATCCAACAGCATTATTAAGTGTTGAAAGCCATTATAGTAATTCTGAAAAATCACCAAATCCAAATAGTATGCAAAATGATGATGATTTAAAATTTTATAATAATAATAACAGTAATAATACAACCACCGTTAATATAAATAATAATCATCGTTATCATAATTCTCGTTTTAATTCAATTGAATATAATAAAAAAAATCTTATTACTAATGATAGTATCGATGATAATAATAATGATGATGATGACAATAATAATAATAATAATAATAATAATGAAAGTAATAATATTAATAATAAAATTCATAATAATATTATTGATAATAATAAAATTGGTGCAGCAGAAGATTTAAGAAAAATTGATTATAAAAATAATTCAACAAAAATATCACCAAAAATGAAACGTTCAACAACACGTAAACGTAAAAAAACAGATATATTAAATGAATTATTAGATATATTAAAAAAATCAGAAAATACTAACTGTGATGAACATGATTATTTCTTTCGTAGTTTATTAAATAGTGTACGTAGAATTGATGAAAATTTAATAATACCATTTCGTACCGAAATATTAAAAACTGTAATGAAATTTAGAGAAATGAGTAATAGTAATAATAATAGTATTAATATTCAACAAATTCATGAAAATAATTGTTCAAATAATAATAATGATACCCAAAATAATAATAATAATAATAATAGTAATCAACAATTTAATTCAATTTTCAATTTAGCTGATGATTATGATGATGAAGAAGATGTTGTTATTATTGATACCGGAGAATCAAATTGGAGGCAAAAATTAAAACGTTATTAAATTAATATTTATATTGTTTAAATTACTTAAAATTAATATAGAATATAGACAAAAAAAAATTATGTAAAACGAAAGAAAATATAAAAATGTAAAAAATCAACATTGACAAAATAGTACAAAATTAAATTAATTAAAAATAATAATTTTGAGGTTTATAAGTGATAAAGGAAACAAAGTGTGTTAGCATTGAAGAAATACAATGTAAAATTAATTAGCAAGAAAAAAAAAAAACAGAAACGATAGTTCCAAAAAATTATGTGAAAGTATTATAGTTAGTAAAGTTTTTTTTTTTTTTTTTATTTTATTATTATAATTTTTTTGTAAATTAAAAAATGAAATAAAAAAATTTAATTTAATATGTTTTTACTTGAATATATAATATGTATGTATTATTAATATTATGCATTAATATCCCATTTATTAATTTGTATAATTTTTTAAAAATATGTCCTGGACTAGATTAAAGGCATTTATTAGAAATGCATGACTTCAAAATAGCAGTAATATTGCGTTATTGCAATATTCAACAATTAAATTATGAACTAATTGTATTTGCAACTCTGAAGCCAGAGAAGGTTATGGTAAATTATTAAACGTCAAATTTTACAAAATCTGAGTTGTCTGAGTTTACGAATACTCTACTGCGTTTTTACTTTCAGTCAAAGCTTAAATTCTTAAACCTTTAAAAAAAAGCAATTAAGCGTCAAAATTGTAGATTTTTTTTTTACATGCAGAGAGTCTGACGTAGTAATTCAGCAAATAAATTTGATGTATTGAGTGACTATCATTACGTTAAAAATAATATAAAAAATATTTTTTTTCTTAATTTTTAATATGTAAGTATAAAATTATTTTAAATTTAAAAAATTTTTTTTTTTGTTTTGACGTTTACGGATGATCAAAATTCAAAGTCAATTACGGGTAAAAAGTTTACTACATTTCTGTCCGTAAAAGTTTTATACGTCAGACAGTTTGCAAACTGAAAACAAAATTTTGACGTTAAAAAATTTGCGGTTAATCTAACATAAACTTGGCATAATCAAGTCTACATTTTATACAACACATTCCCTTATTCTCTGTAAATGAATCTTTTCCATATTCGTCTTTTCTCATGTTGTAATATGCTCAAACACTTTGACAAACATAAATAGCTAATATGCGGATATATTAATATTGTAATTTAGTTTACATAATGAAATAAACGTAAGTAGTAGCTAGGTCTTATTTCCGAGAAAAAAATTTTTAATATTCTGTATGAAAAAATTTTGTACGAAGAAATTCTTTAACAAAGCTCTATCCTGTATGAAAACCATATTTTTTTGGAATGAAAATCACTAAATAGTCATTTTTGTTTATTTTTTCGAAATTACAACCTGTTGCCTAAATCCCACTCAAACCATTCTTTGCTATTCAAAGCTCTAGTGATTCGGTACTTTACAAACTCTTAAAAGAATTAAGTTTAAAAATATAAAAAATGCTATGTAAATTTGTTTAAAAACGCCCCTTATAATTTATAAAAAGGCTTTAAATATTAAAATAAAAAAAAAAATATAAATTTAATTAAAATAATGAGAAAAGGCTATGCTTTTTATTAAATCACTTGAAATAAATGCACTTTCATTTCAAAGTTAATTATTTTTTTTAAATAAAAATTAATTATTTAATTTAAATGTTTAATTATTTGTTATAAAATTTTAAATATAAAATTAATTTTTATTATTACATTTTTTACTTTTTAATTAATTTGTACATTTTGGAAAATTTGGTTCATGTTAAATGCTTACTGGTAACTTAATTTAGAACAAATTTAAAAAAAATTAGTATGTTGGTTATTAAGTACTCATTTCATTTAAAAAAGGTGAAAAAAAAAATATAAAGAAAACAAAAATATTAAAAACTATTACAATAACAAAACGAATAAAATGTGTGAATGAACAAATTATAGTGTGAATGAATCATGTACCCATTACTTTTTACCAATTCTAGACTGAATAGAATTTTAATTCTTAAAGAAGAAAAAATTTTCTTGTACTTTTATATCCATGTTACTACTTTAATATAGTAAATATTTTTTTAATATTGAAAGTATTAAAATAATTAAATAAATATGTGATTTTTTTTTTTAAATTTATAATGGAAAAATATGAACTTTGAAACAAGTTTATATTAGTAAGTGGGCACGATGGCACATTCGAAAACATTTTGGAAAGCTTATAATTTATAAAATCGTAGATGTTACAACAATTTTACAATTAAATTAAGGAAACTAAATTATTTTGAACATATTATACTATACACTACATTTTTATTTTAATATTAATAATAGAATAATTAAATTTGTTTTAACCAAAAATAAACTTATTATCATTTTGTTGTATTTAAAATAAATTTTTGGTAATATTTTAAATGAAAAACTTAAAAAAAAAAATCATTTCATTCATTTTAAATAAAAAAAAACTAATACTGATATTTTCTGATATTTGTGATAATCATTTTTCAAAATAAATATAAAATTATTAAATTTTACAATAAATCTGTTATAGTAATGAAATTATTACATTAATCATCATAATTTTGAAATTATGCTCTTAAAATAGGTATTTAATGAAAAAAAAAAAAAAATTTATTACAAATATTTCGTTATTATGATCGACGAAGCGAATGAGTAGGCGAATCAAATGAACTAGGAGAATCGAATGACATTTTATCGGCGAATGATTTCATTCGCCATATCCAAAATGTTGCTACCGCAAGACATCCGAAAATCTACCGAAAATAATGAGATTAATATCACACATATGTACATTGTTTTTTAGCAATGTCGTAGTTGTTGTCTACTAATTTATTTAAATTCTCGAATTGTTTTTGATTCCTTTTTTGACGTATAAATTAATATTAAACAATCAATATTTTGTGCAGTATTTTTTTAAGAATTTTATAAACTTATTTATAGATAGTTTGGATTTTTCCATTACAACACTATAAAATGCTATAATATCTTATAAAGAAAAACACTTATGTATTATTTTGATATTTTTGGTTTGGTTTCATTCGTCAAGCTTATCACACAGAATTTTCATACGACAGATTTGAATGCCCCATTCGCCTAAAATTCAGGCCAATTCGCTAACCATAACATAATAATACCAGAAATTTATATTCGCCAAATATTTCATTCACTTTGCCGATCATAATAAATATTAATATTTTTTTATTAAAATTATATAAATGTATTTACGAAATTGTTAAAACAATCTATTATTTTTAATACATGCATAAACAAAATTTTCAAATTATTAATATTAAAAGTAAAAGAATATAAAATAAAGACATATAATGTTGAATTTTATATTAAATTAAATAATAATAAAATATTTAATTAATTTTATAATAAATTTTCATTTAAATTAAATTAAATTATTATTTCTTTTAATGTACGTACATTTTTAATATTGACATGGAATTTTTTTATAAAATAAATTTTTTAAAATTATATTTTTTTTATATTCATATAACAATAAAATCTATTGATATGTAATGTAAAATAATAAAATTTATAAAACAAAAACAAAAAAATTAATAATAATGGTTTAAGGTTTCTTGGAAAAGTTGCACTTTTAAAATTTCAATATGTTTAAATTCTAATTTCTTTCAATTATTAAATTATTTTATAACACATATCTCCGCTGCTATTACAGTACTTAATTACAAATAGATTCCTTAATAACTAAAAAAAAAAATATATTGATATTTTAAATTTTAACAAAATTATATTATGAAAAATACTTAGAAAGTTATAAATTTTAATAAATTTCATATAATTTTCAAATTGAATTTAAAATCTACATTTTTTTTTATATAAAATATATTTTTTTTTGTTATTTAATGCAAAATATATTTAAAAAAAAATTGTATTATAGCTTGTTAAACTAATAGAATTTAAGTTCGAAATAATTGTCATATGATTACAAAAATTATTTTATTTTATAATGAGATTGCAATATCATTAATTCAATTTTAATTATAAAGTAATACAAAATTTACTTTTATAATTTCTGATATGATTTCATATTATAATAATCTATATTAATTATATGCCACTTATATTGTTCTATAAGAATTCGAAATTGACAATGTTTTTGGTTGAGATCAAATATTAATGTTATTATTTATAGCACAATCACTTATTCATTATCAGGTTTTTGGTTTTTTTTTAAATTATGATTTACTAAACTATATTATTTTACAGAAAAAGATTCTTTAATATACAAATGTATCTTTTTGTGGAGAGTAAAATATGCAGCTCTGTCATGAATTCCACTCGTAGAATTCTACGAATTACGAATATAACTATTTGATTACAATTACAATTTCAGTACTATTACAAATTTCTTTCGTAGAGATTATGAATCACCAATGGCAGTATCATTTAGTTTTTGAATATTTTTTAAAAGTGAAAAAAAAAAACAATTTTTGAGAATATGAATTTATTTCCTGTCATGCTAACTGTTTTAGACTAACTCAAATTATGTTAGAATAACGACTGTGTTAGAGTAACGACTATTCTCTTTAAATTGCTTGTTACGAGTGATTATTTCTTTCGTAGACATTCGAGGGTAATTTTTACTACGAATGTAATTTATGATAACTACATTAAGAATATTCGGAGCAGAATTTTACTAATTCATAATTAATAATACGATTTCCGAATGTAATCATATAAGTAATTTTCCGAATTTCAGAGCTACGAACGAAATTCATGATAGAGCTGATGGTATTTTTTTACGATTAATTTTCATATGATTTCCAAATGTAATCATATAAGTAATTTTCCGAATTTCAGAGCTACGAACGAAATTCATGATAGAGCTGATGGTATTTTTTTACGATTAATTTTCATGTTCATTTTCAATGGATTATGATTATTGATGATTGTATAAAATTCGATTGATTTTTTTCCTCATTTTGAATTTTACTACAATATAATGAAATTATTTTTTCATATTTTTTTTTTAATAATTGCTAGTATATAATACTGATTGAGATGGAGATGAAATTCCCAAAATTTTTGTTTTATAGTGAGATTACATTTTAGTTATTTTTTTTCCTTTCTTGAATATTTTTTGCTTGTTTTTGATTTTGATGAATGTTCGTCAATCTAAAATTTACATAAAAAAAAAAAAAATGAGCATAAAATATAAATAATGAAAAATAAAATAAATAAAATATAAATATACTTACACTTTCATTAAAATTTTCATTCGTATGATCAATATTCTTTTTATATTCATATTCGCATCGAATTTTCAATGGTTTCTTATGGTCTTTGTTACTGTGCTCAATAATTTTATCTAATACATTATATAAGTTATTACAATATTGACATTCGTACATTATTATAATAGAATGATCCTTATCCAAATGTTTTATAAAATTTTTAGGTTTAATTGTATCTATACCACATATTAAACAAAAATGTTGTTTAAGAATTTTTTCATTTTCTTTTAAACATGTAGTAAAAGAATATTCTTCAATATCATGTTTTTGTGAACGTATAACATTTGTTATATTCATTTCAACTTTATGCATTAATCTAACATGTTTTTGAACAATTTGCCTTTGATGATTATAAAAAAAGCAAATTGTACAAGTGTATAAAATCTCTGAGTGCATTCTTAGATGATTTTTAATATCATTAAAATCACATGTTACCTTATCAATTTTGAAATTACAGTGAATGCATTCAAAACGTTTTATAGATCTGTGTATTAATTTCAAATGACTCTCAAAAAATAAAGATTCTGATTGTGTCCCATATGGACAATTTTTTTCAAAACATTTATAACGTCCTTTTTCTAATGGAATAAATTTTGGTAATTGTAACAATTTTTTATTTGAATTTGATTTACTTTTATTTTTATTTTTAATATCATGCTTTTTGAGATCTAATACATTAACAATATGTATTAATAAAGTTAAACGATTATAGTTGATTTCATTTGGTATACCAATAAAATATTGTTCAAGTTTTTCGCTTTTTATTTGCAGTATTTTGTGTTCTATACTGAAATGATTTTCCAACTTACTCAATGAAGTAGTACAAATGCCACATAAATAACAAAAATATGGATGTTTTAAATCTTTATCATTCAAAGATGAAACAATTAGTTTTGTCAATTTCTGAAAGTTTTTTTCCAATTTTTCTAAAGAATTATTTCTTGTAAATCTATCTAAATTTTCTTTTGAGCTTGATGAATATTTAATTAAATATTTTGATGTGTAATCATCAGAACTCCAAACCGTTTCATTTGCGTTTTCAGCTATTTTTTTGAAGTCTTCCATATTTTCAGAAATTCTTTTCATCTTTTGTTTAAGAAATTTGGATTCCAAAAATTGATCTTCATGTAGAATATTTGATAAATCAATTATAACAGTTGAATTCATTTTGAATTTATCATAAAGTTGTATTGATTTCTTCTGTTTTTAAAAATAAATTCATGTTAACATTTAAATTTTTTTTTTTCATTTAACAATTACGTACATGTTTCTCCAACTTTTGATTTCGAAGCCTGGCACCAACAAATAATCCTTTTTCAGCATGAATATCTGCCATATGAATTTCAATCAATTCGATTGAGTCAGTTTCAAAGTGACAGAAAAAACAGCAAAATAATCCATGATAATCACAATTACAAAATACTGAATTGTAATGATTGCGCTTGAAATGATCTCTCAAATCTTCTTGTAAATAACATTTGCCTAAAAAAAAAAATATATAACATATAAAAAATATAGTTTTGATTATATAATTTTTTTGTTTTACCTTCATTACATAAATGACAAGTATATGGTTTTAAATAACGTTCTCTACTTTCAATGATTACCTTAAATAAAGCGTTCATTGAAAGCTCTGGACCATCACAAACAATAATTTTAGAAGTTTTTTTGTGATATTTTTTGATATGAATTTTTACATGGAATGCTGAGTAGCTCCTATAAAAACAACTACTACATTGAAAATTACATGAAGCATGGTATATTTTCATGTGTTTAATTAAATCCGGCGGTCTATTTAACACTACATTGCAATAACAACATTCCAAATTAATACTTTTATGACTTTTAAAATGATTTTGCATTTGATCAGCCCAATTTGTCGAAAATGTACACATCATACATTTAAAAAAATTCAATAAATTTATTTTTGATAAAATTGAAAATGATTTCTTTTCATCAATATTATCATTATTTAGCCATGGTTTCATCATATACATTTCAGAAAGTACAGGCAATGTCACAATTTCTACAGGTTCAGTTAGTGTACATTTCGACCGTTTTTCACTACTTTCATTCATTGAATCACTTTTCAGGATTCTGCATGATTTATCTTTTAAAAAAGAAATATTTACGGATTATTTTTTTTTTTTTCAAAACGTTAATAAAATATTATATTATATTTCTAATTAAGTAATTAATTTAATTTTTATTTTAAAATTGTGTAAGCTTACCATTATTGATATAATCACAAACTGGTTCATTCAAAACTGTTATCAATTCTTGAGAATTTGGTTTATTAAATTTCTGTTCTGTAAAACTTTCCGTATTTAATTCACTGAAATTCTTTTCAAATATTTCTTCTATATTAGTCATTTTTGCTTTTTCAGAGAATTTTACAAGTACGAGACTTTCACATAATCTTTCTGGTTCTCTTGCAATTGAATGATGATTTTCCAAATGTTTAATTACATTCGATTTATTTAATTGAATGAATTTACATTCAGCACAAAATGAACCAACCACTTCACTTTGTTCTTGATATGCATAGATTCTTTTAGGATTACCACCTTTCTTACAATGTTCGCAATGTTCAATCATTTTTGTTTCATGAGGCAATTTTTTACAACATTTATCGCATTCCCAAGCATATTCACCTAAAAGAAAAAGTGTACGAAATCTATTGTTTAATGTAATTACTTACATATATTTCATGTAATAATTTCACAGAAATAACTGTGTGTTAAATGTTTATAATTGCCTTCAATGTTGAAGGGAATGAGGTTTTCAATTGGTCTATAAAGAAAAAGATTTCTTTACCTGTATGCGTAGAATAATGTTCATAGAAATCACTTGGAGCTCCATAAATTTGTTTATCACAAAATGCACATTTACATCTATATTTTAGTTGAATAATTTTAATTAATTTCGCTTCCAATATTTTTTTTTTATACTTTTCAATTAAATAATAAGGAAGTCGAGAGCAATATATTTCATGATTTTTGATATTATTATGATTGTTAACGTAATGAGAAACTATAGAATTGACTGTTTTATCACATATTACACATTTACTCATAAAATTCTTATTATAACAATGTAAATTTTGATCTGTATTTCTAAATATAATTTTTGGTGTATTAGATATTTTTGATTTTGTTTCAATTACTTCATCTAATTTAGTTATATTGCTTGCTGCTGTTACTTCAAATTGTAAATCTTTTAATTGATTACTATTACAATTTTCCGATGTTTCGCAGTTAATTTTTTTCAAAACAATTTTTATATTCTCTTTACCGGATCTTTCTTTTTCTTCATTTTCTTTACTTCTAGCTGTTGCAGAAATATTCAATGCGGAATTCTTATCTTTTGAATTGCGATTATTTTCAAATTCAGGTTCAGATATACAAACAGACTTACGTCGACTTTGTTTTGGCTTTCTTATTTCTTCGTCTGATAATAAATCTGCAATTTCTTCTTCATCCCAAACTTTGCTATGTCGTCTTATTTTTTGCAAAGCTTTATTAAATGCAGGACGATGTGTTTTGGGTTCAGGTAAAGTATAACCCCAATTTAAGAATTGCTCTTGGAGGCCATGAAGTTCTCTTAAATTAACATCATTTTCAAGATGAGAACAAACTGATTTTCGTCTACCTTTCATCTTTTGTGGTTGTTTCACTTTTTGGGTTATTGAGGTATCATTCGATTCTAAAATACAAAATGTTAAATATAAATAAAATTAATACGTACGTATTGCAAAACTAAAATCTCACCTTTAACTTTATTGAGATCTGAAGCATGGTATGTGAATCTTCTTCTAGTTATTTTAGCAGGTTTACTTGAGATGTTATGTTCATTGTCATCTGTTGTCATTTGTTTCTGTTTTTCTTCATTCTCATTTATAGATCGTACATTAGTTATGACAATGTTGTCGGTGCAAGTACTGTCTGTTAAAATATTACTTTTGAGTTTTTTGCTATTAAATTGTCTATTACTAGAGCAATTTTCTGATTTATTAGACAGATCTTCATCTTTTGATGATTTGCGTTTTCTTGTTGTTGAGACTGGCTGTGATGTATCTGCTGTATTTGATATTAAATTTTTTCGTCTATTACAGTTCGGCATTATGACACTTTCTGAATTTTGGGAAGCACTTATAAAATTTTCATTATAACATAAATTTGTTGAATGAGTACTGTCAACAATATTATGTTGTATATTACAAAATTGATTATTTTCAATTGAAATTTCAGAATTTGAAGAAAATAGTGTATTTGAAGAATACGAATTCAATGGTATTTGATGGTAAATAGTTGGAGAAAAATCAGTGGTCGTCGACATTGCTTGAACTTGTATATTTGGAGTAGGTGTATTATATCTTACAATTTGGTTTATTTCAGATCCTATATTAAAAATTTGATCTGGTACAACTGCTGTATATAAATTATTAGCCGTAGGTGTTATAACATTTTGGGAAATTATTAATGATTTAGATGAATTTTCTACAAAATTTTCTCTGATGTCAACCGAAGTACTGTCAGGATTGGTATTGTTTCGATTTGTACCTACTTTCAAAATATTAAGAGCTATTTGCTCTAATTCTCTTATACTTTTATTTTTTAATTCATCATTAAACGAATTTTCATTTTCATTTAATTCTAGCTTAAGATTATCAACTGAAATATTTTGCTTAGCTAAAGTATGATTAGAATTAGTTAGAACTTCATCCTCACTATCAATAATTTCAATAACAGTTGTTATAATATTTTCAGTTGATTTCTTTCTCCTTGTAAAAAGAATTTCTTCCTTTTCTCTTGTATCTTTGAAATCATTAAGTTTTTCCTTTTTGATTTTATTAGGAGGTATTAAATACTGTTGATGATCATCTGTAGAATCTTTAGTTTTGTCTGTTTCTTCATCACTACTATATATTACTATTGTTTCATGCTGTGCTACCTTTTCAGTTTCTCTTTGTTGTTGTGTAAATTTTTTTTCTATTTCCAAAGCCTTAAAATATTATAAAAGATATTTATATTACAGTTTGTAAATCCAAAAAAATTGGGACTGTATAATTTAATTCAATATTATTTTTTGTAAATCAAAAAAAAATATTGAGAGGGACTGTATATTTTTTTAAATTGTTTGCAAATATAAAAATATTTATTAACTGAATTCCAATTTTAATACTTACATTTTTATATACTGATATAGTTTTATATTTTTTTATTAAGTGTTCCAGTTTCTCCAGCTTTTCTTGGTTATTCAATATATTTCTGAAATCAAATAAAAATTGCGAATTAAATAAAATTGTTATTGTAACAATATTGATTGAATTTATAAAATTTTTTAATGGGCAACTAAACATAATGAAGCAAATATGCATTCTACATCAAACACGACTTCTATTTTGATTTTCAAAATTTTAGTCATATATCGAGTATAATTTGTAAACTTATTAAATTGTTTACCAGTTCGAATAAAAATTTTTAAAAAACATACATACATACGAGTACATATGTATTTTCTTATTGCTTAATCAAATGAAAATAGAAAATCTTTCTTTTAAACGTACCTTATATCTTTTTTTAAAATATTGACCACTTTTTTTACATTTGGATCTTTAATTGTTTCCAAAAATGGAATTTGTTTGTATATATCTTCGATTCTTTCTTTTATAGTTTTCATTATGCAAAGATCTGTGCGAAGTAGGAAAGAATAAAATAGAAAAATTTAATTAATTTTTTTTTGTTCTTAATTAACTTGGACTTGTAAAATCCCGGCATACTTAAAATTTATACTATGTACATACCTACTTAAAATGTAGAAATTTTTTTTTAATTCTATAAAAATATTGCTGAATACGATAATTGCTGGGGGGTTAAATTTACATTTGACAACATAATCTTTACTGATATTTTTAAAGATACATAAATAAAAAAAAAATTAAAAATTATATCGAATTGAATGGGTCCGCAGAATGGTTTCATACTCTGTGACGTCATACAGTGTGAAAAGAAAAAAAAAAAACATTTTATTGTACCGTGTTTAACTTGAAATTTCCTTAAAAGACTAAAAAGATCTTAATAAAATTTTGAAAATTTTTGAAAATTTCTTAAAACATTGAAGTAATTTAAGGTCAAAAAAGGTTGGAAGGTTATTTTTCACATGAGCTTTACATTTTATTTAGAATCATTATACGGCGTTGCCAACGTGTAAGGTTTTTGTTTTCTTTGAAAATAATATTAAAATATTTAACTTAGACTTAATGATTAAATGATTTAAGAAATTTTAATTTTTAAAAATTTTCAAAATTTTAGCATAGCAGAAAATTTTTAACTTTTATTTACAAATTTAAATTTAGACTTATTCTGTAATTCTTTATTAAATTAAGACTAATGCCATTTATTTAGAAAATACAATAATTTTTGCTTTAATCAAAAATTAATGACGTTTCTTTAATTTAATTTATTATATTTCATTTCAGTTGTATTCTGAAAATTTCCTTTTAAATTCAATTTTAAATTCATCCCTAATTTAATTTAATGATGTCATATATATATATATTAATGATGTTTAAATATTAAAACAATTGAAAGCCACACTCCAGGGAGCCTAACTAATCAATTTGATTTTCGTGAAATACTTAGTAAATACATAGTAAAGCCCCAGTCTACATATAATATTTAAATTTTATGAAATTCTGAACTCAAAATATATATATATATATATATATATATATATATATATATATACATATATATGTACACACATATCTAATAAAATTATTAATTCAATCTGACCAACTTCCTAACTTGCTATTGAGAATTGTAATTTTTTTTTATTTACTTAGAATTATTGTATTAAAATTAAGTTGCTGCCTATTTTATTTATAACTAAACTATTTATTCATTTGTCGTAATTCAATAAACATATATTGAAATTTATACTATTGTGTTTTTCCAATTATCCTTAAAAGGATATTTATTTTGGATATTCAGAAATAAGTTTAATCAATAAAGCATATTGAATGTTGATGTCAAAATGTGTTCTTGTCAAATTTTTGTTTATTTAAATTTTATATTTTTAGATTAATTTATTTTTTATTTGTTCTTGAAATTGAAACCTTTACATATTTTGTGTAAATCAAATATTGCTATAAAAATTACCATATACACATTGACATAATTATTATCATATACACATTGACATAATTAATCATAATATTACAATGTTGAATGCCAATTAGCATACATTGTATCTCGGTAAGTAATATTTGAATTTTACAACAGAGAATACAAAACAAAAAAAATTATTTGCGAACAAAAATTATTTAAGACTTCTTTAACTATATCGAATCTCATGCAATCACTCTGGCGCTTTTGAAGCTGGCAATTCATGATTACCTGAGTTGCCTGATAGGAAATATGTTAGCTATCAAACAGAAATATCTCTACTAGGTTTGAAGGTTCATATGTCCAGAAATTCGTCGGCAACCCAATCCACTAGAGGTAATTAATCATTTGATGATATACTTGGAAGAAGAGGGAGAAAATGTTTAATATAATATAATCCAAATCTTTGAGGTTATAATTCCTCTTTAGTATAAAAAAAAAATAAACAAAATTTTTCCCGCATTCTTTTTTCCTGATATCAATCCCCTCTATTATGTATATCGGTATCGGCCGATAAACGATAATTTATCGGCAAAATTTTGTGTTTGTATTACCAACATTGTTTATCGGTAAATTTTATCGGAGTCGGGAAAGCTTTTTTTCCCTGTATAGGAAACGTATTAGCTGGTATTATGAAAACGATAAATTGTCGGGTTTTCACCGATTTAAAAGCGGGTACAAATTTTTAGACGACAGATTTTTTTTTTGTAAAATCTTCATTTTATCAAGGAAACTGGTGTAATTAATTGCTTTTTTAAAATGTAAGCATTTTTTCTAAATTATTTTCTTTCAAAATGTTATTCATATATTTTATTTAGGAGTAAAATCGTAAGCAACAAAAAACAAATTGCGCGGTTAGTAGAAAAAATGGAAGAGGACTTAAACCTGGCAAGGAATGATAATCTGAAATTCTGGATAAACCTAAAAAATGTGTACATATTATATAAATAATAAAATAAAATAGGTACATAAACATACATTTTGTTGTCTAAATCCAATGGATTAGTTGAATCTCTTATATGTCGTCTTTGAATAGCTTGCGTTTCTTCACTTACTACCGTTTCTTCACTTTCAAAATATAATGCACGTGACATTTTCCCGATATATGTATACTTTTATTTTACAAATTTAACAGAAAATAATTTTCTTACTACAACTTTTTAGCACATCAAAACCAAATTCAAAATAGTTTTAAAAATTTTTTGAAAATAACTTTTGAAAGAAAACAAATGTCATTAGAAAAAAAAACATTTTCTCCAATTTACAAAAACAAAAATTTGTATGAAAAAGCTTCTTTTAATCGGTTGAAATATTTTTATCGGTATCGGTTCATAATACAGAAGAAACCCAAAACCGATGAGAACTGCCGATAATATATCGGCCGATACCGATGTTCATAATAGAGGGGAATATTTCACGCCTTGCGAACAAATAATAACAATGGGACATACCTGATACAAAAAACAAAATTGATAAAGAACTAAAAGCAAATTCTAAAACACAACATGTAATAAAATACAATAAAATACTATAACAGAAAAATATAACAAAATTTTTGGAATTCATTCAAGAAGGATAATTACCGAAATACTCTCAAAAATTTTATGACCTTGGAACATAATTGTTCTTAAAATAATTTAGTTTTATTTCTAGCACATAGTATGTATGTATATGGTTTGTTGACAAAAAAATCTCTTATAGAATATACATACATATGTACATACATTCATACATACATTCATTCATACATACATATACATACCATATTTTTTCTATTAAAAATTTAAAGCTATTTAAAAATTTTTTGAAATTTCAATTTACATTTATAATTTAGTTTTCCACATTGGGTTCTAAATTCAAAACGGAATTTTATTGATGTAAATATGTGTAATCATAAGTTTTTATTTTGGACATGAACCATATGACTAGAAGTTGCTTTCAAGCCGAAATATGAATTTCTAAAAGTTGCAGTTAAGAAATCTGATTTCTTGTATGAACGAGATTTTACACCCGCATTTTTCAAAATTGACACCCGATTGTTTTCAAAATTAGGTTCAAAAATTTGAGGTTATACACTTACATGCATTCATGATATACGAGTATGAATAGCTATTTATCTTCTCCGGTTTGTCAAACTATTTGACGATGCCAGGCCTGTACCGTAGTACATGATTGACCCGGAAAATTTTCCATACATTATACTGATGTGTGTGTACAACAACTAATTATATGGACTCGACATAGCCGTCACAAGCATGGAATGTACCAGTATACGTGACAACAACATAAAACGATTTATTAATAATTGGGTTTGTTTTTTTTTTTTTTTTTTGAAAATTATGAGTTTTTTTTCTTTTGTGGTTTTGTGAACAATATTATGGAAATTTACTGGAAACGATAAGAAAAAATAAATTTTTTTTTTTGTTGCTTATTATTATTATCAACTGAAATCCTAAAAACAGTCGCACATGTTTTTGAAAAAAATCTTCTTTTTTCCTGCTTTTTGAATAGGTAATAGTGGATTTGTTTTTTACCGACCGTATTGTGTATACAATAGGTAGATGATGTGATGGCAACAAATTTTGCATATCGAGTTTTGTGTGGGAATGCACTTCTCCATAGTAGGGAAGTGTAAGTAAACTATTTTCAGCAACCTGTGGGTCCGTCGGTCTGTTGGTCTGTCGGTCTGTGTGTGTATGCGTGTATCTCAAGTTCGGCTGAACCGATTTTGATGAAATTTTATATGTTAGTTTATTTCGACCATGGCACGGATTGATCAACTTTTGGGATATATCAGGCCTCGGGAACTGCACTTTTTAGCGGGCCCGTTTTACTTTTTTGAGCATTTTAAAGAAAATATTAAACCAATTTACTTGAAATTTTATATGTAAGCTTCACTAAACCGACCGCGAAACCTCCTAACTTTTGGAAGAAATCAGGCCTCAGCAGCTGGACGTTTACTACGGGCCAAATATACATTTTTGCGTATATAAAGAGAAATAATCAACCGATTTCATTGAAATTTAATATTCTGAAAACAATGAACATATAAATTTTTTGGAAAGATCAGGACTCATCCGATTTGCGGGCCGATTTTACATTTTTCACCGTATCTATGGAACGAATTGATAGAATTTTTTGAAATTTCATATTTGAGTTCTGGTTGTTACCGAAACTAACTGGCGAGCATTTCAGGGAATTCGGGTAACACAAAGCGAAATTCTACTAAGAGCCAAATTTACATTTTTCTAGGTATTTTAACTATAAGCTTACTAATGTCCTAAGAATTGGAAATAAGTATTTAACAGACTATTTCCAATTTTTCTATAATATTCTGTAACATTTTCACTTAACTAGACAATACACATTGCGTTCGGTTATGTGCTAATCACATCAGATTTCTTCTTCTTGGGTTTTCTTTGCATTTAGGAATGGCTTCTTAAAAATTGATTTAATTTATATGGAATTTTTTTCGTACATTTTTAATTTAATTAACGGCAACGAATTTTTTTTTTACTTTCAAT